AAATATTTCATTAAGTAGCTGATATTTATTATATTTATAGCAAATTATAAAATATTATAAATAATGAAGTTCAATTATTAATAAATTAATAGATTAAAAAATAATATTAATTAATCATGTTATATTATAAAAATCATAAATTCATTTTTTGTAAATAATAAAATTTTTAAGATTAAAAATAATTAGTTTTTTTTAAATGAAAAAAGCTTATTTTTAAAATGGTATATTAATTAATTATAACTGTGTAAAATATATTATTATTATTAATTATTTAATTATTTATTATTACTATTGTTATAATAGTTTATACTTGTCACAATTTTTAAAATAAAAAGTAAAAATTAAAATATATTTAAGATTTAATTTGTATTATGTGTTCACTCAAATCACACATCACATCTCATTGCAACCAACACTTTTTATATGAAACAAATAAATACACTAACCTCTTCCTCTTGATGTAGATGGATGACTAGTAACTGGTGTAGTAGTTGATGTTGGTACCAAATTGTTATATGACAAATCCTCTTTATTATTATAACCACTGGATAGTGATAAATTGTAACTATTATGTCCCTGTGTTATGGCTTGTGGATTTTGTGGTGTACGAGAACGTGTTCTTGATGCAACACAATCAACAGCTGTTAAGTTTAACTCTGGTAGACTTGTTCTTGCAGTACTACGTTGTCTTGTACTATTTCCACTAATATTATAATTTGATTGTTGAATCTTATGTTGTGATCTCCAATTATTATCTATAGAAAATAATATAATTTATAATTAAAGCTTTAAAATAAAAGAAAAAAATAAAACAAGAATTATATTCAATTTATTTAAGAAATATAATTACCTAAATATGATTCTAAGCCACTGCCATGACTTTTACATTCACTTCTTGATTCGCTTTGTATTGAATCGTTTGAATGTTTACAAGAAGTATTATCAAAAACTTCAGACGATTGTGGATCACCAATAGTTTGTCTACGTCTTTTTTCTTCTACTGTGATAGGAATAGAACCAGTGCTTTGTCGTTTTCTATAACCACTACTACCACTGCTAGAGCTCTTCCCTCTAACTTTAGAGGTGTCTGCTGAAGCACTGGCCGTCTCTACAGACCCCCCTGATGACAACTGATCTTGTTGATCTGCCATAGATTAATCGACTCATGCCACTATTCTGTCTGTAACAAAAAAGAAATATTTTTTATAATTATTTAAATTGAATCTTGCAAAATTTTATACATAAATTTAAATATATATTTTAATAAAATTCAAAATAATTCAAAAAACTTTTGACAATACATTTATTATATAATGCTAAAAATTATTATCTATAAATAAAAGTTAAAATACAATAAAAATTGAAATTGGAAAAAAATTTTAATTTTAATAAAATTTATAATTGTATAATAACATGAAATACAATTTTAAAAACTAAAATTAAATCAAATTTTTTATGAAAATTTTATAATTATTATATTTATCTAACTTCGATTAAATTTATATATTTGAGATTAATAAAATAACAAATAAATATGTTAATTATATAAAAGCATATATTTAAATTAAAAAGAAGTATATTATTATTTAAAAATGTAAGAGAGAAATGTATATATTTATTTATAAATAATACGTTAAAAGCAAAAATATATATGCATAAAATTCTAACAAAGTAGATTAAACAAAAATCATTTATCACAATAAATCAATCTCCATTTGGATAAAAGCAGTGTAATTAAATAATATAGAAGAAATGCGCAATTAATGTTTTCCTCCACGATGAAAGAGATAGTAACAAACCCAAGAATCATAACAAACACTACAACTAGTGCCCGTTTATAATATGGGCAATGCAAAATTGTACCATTGACATTATAGAATATCTTTTAAGAATACTAGAATTACATGATTATAACAAAGCCACAAGTAAATTCAATATACTATAAGAAATTCAATGAAAGATGTAAATAATTATAACAAAGACTCGTAAGTGAGCAAGCCACCATTTGCTTGCGAACAAGTAATGGAGGACGAGTTCTTTCTTCATCTCTTTCTCTCTTTCGTTTCTCTACTTTCGTTACTGTATGACCTCAGGTTGAGGTCCTCGAAAAAGAGAACTTTACTTAAATGTACAGATTTACATCAAGAAGAAAAAATAAAAAAAAATTTCCAAATTATAAATAAGATTACCTGAATGTCGGAAAAACATGCCCAGGGCATTGCGAGGAAAATGTCTTCTTGTCGATGATTTTTATAAGTACAATGTTCCTTATTACGTACGACAGAGAAATGGATTCTCGTGCAAGCACGTACGTTAGTGAGTGGCTATGTGCACAAGCACACACCAAAAAACGCACCGAATGCACTACCGAGGCACACTGAAGCAACTCAGCGGAATGCGACGGCTATCGAGATCGGGTTGGTTAGAATTGGGAAGCTGGAGGACGCTCCGCCCCCATCAGGAAACGTCACACACGAAGTCAACGGAGGTGCGTTCGAAAACACGGTGCCCGCGTGGAGTGAAATCGTAATTCATAACGGAACAGCAGACGTAAAACCGGCGCGAATAGCCATCTTGCTGCAGTTTTTTCAAACACCAACTTTTACTTTCTCTTCATCTATGATGTAAAATTAGCCGCAAACAAATGATCGAATATCAGTGACGAATTCAAATATATAATAGGTTAATCCTAGGTTAAAAAATATGTTTATAAGTATATATATATATATATATATATATATATATATATATA